TCTATAAGCAGCACATTAATCTGAAATTAAATACAATATATTACATGAACAGTAATGGAAAATATAAAATCTCTTCTTTACCTGATACTGAGGTGTAGAAATATTTGTACCAGATGCGAATTCACAATCAAAAATATGATTTTGTTTTAAATACATCATGAGAATAAATTCATGAAATAATTTCTTTTCCAATTCAATATATTCATGAAGTAAAGAAACAATGTATATATTGAGTGTATTTCCACATATACTTGGCATGTAAACAAGTAAAGCCAAAAGAAGTCCGATTTCGAATGTATTTAGAAAATCATTTTTCTCCGAACCATACATGCTACAATGGATCAAAAGATAAACATTGTGGACTATGCTCAACATATTCGAATAAGTAATGTACAGAAACCATTTTGTGTTATTAGCGAAATTTCTTTCTATAGCATCTAATTTTTTGTACACTCGAATGAAATGCTTCAGTGTCCGGAGATAGTACTTAAGCTCAGTTTCAGTTTGGAATTGACTTGGCAAACTTTTTAGATATCTAATTATATTTCGATGGAGAGCTAACACAATCAGTTGAAATGTTTGATACATAAGAAAGAAGATAGCATACATATGTTTATAAAATTCCAATGGTGCCAAATAATCAACAAAATATGACAGAAAGGCAATAAAAAAAAGTTTAAGTATATTTAATCGCAAAATAAATTTATCGCAACTTAATTTGAAATTTGTCATCAGAAATAGTTCATTCACTACTCCAATCAGATCGTTACATAATTTTGTAAAGACAGAATACACTTTTTGAAAATGCAGTACATAATAACATCGATATAAAGAAATGGACCGAATTATATAGATACAGTAAGCAATTACTTGGTATTGCATAGCTCCATTTTGATATGTCGAATAGGTAGTAATTGCATAATAACTGATGTATAGGTCCGACAGCATGTGAAAAGTCAATACCAGTCCTTTTGTAAGAAACTTAAAAACTATCCATGGTATGTTATTATTCACGTGATCCAACTTCGTTTTCTTTTTAATAAACTTAAAATTGTAAGAACTCAGAAATTTGCATATAAACAGTACAAATTTACAGGAAAAGTTTAGAGTTTTGTCGAGTTTTTTCTTATTATTCGATATAGTATACATGTTCACTGATAGTTATTTCAGTAGCAACCAAACTTTTTGGGGACCTCAGCTCAATAAATATGAATCAATACAATTGAACACTACATTCAATGTGGTTTTATTAATGAAATTATATTAAATTATAGACATTAATTTAATTAAGACAATAATAGCTAAATGTTTTAATTTCGAATGATAATTACAGTATTTTGGATTATTAAAGACACAGCGTTAAAACAGGCACTTGGAAAATATATAAAATAGGTTCCTCCCTCATAGGGAATTGCTCAACAATAAAGGCTTTGAGAATAATATACGCAAAAACTTTTTATTTCAATGATTTTATTTCATATTAGATATCACACGATATGAAAACAGAAAATAATTATTAACTGTATCAGAATATTTAATCCGTATCAGCTTCATCATGTTTTGGGATCATTTGAATATCGTTTAATGACATTAAAATCTTGTAAATTATTTTGATTATGATCAAATTGGATTAAAAAAATGCTTGATTGTAATTTAATTTTTATAATACAAAGTATAGGTTTTATTAGATATGTTTTTAATTAATTTAGTTAATTTAATTTAATTTAATTACATTTAATTAAACGTAACATGTTTATTGAAACTATGTCGTCACATTGTCCTTTGACGAAATATAAACAGAATAGCTGACTCGACTACAATCCCTTCCCAAATCGTTATGGCAAGTTGACATTTTGTAAAATCTTTTAAAAGATTTATATATTACACACATCAATTCAATTTTTCTCTTTTATTGAAAACTCGTTTACTAAAATAGTCATATCTTTTTCCCAAGCTTATGTTTTAGTACTAATCCACTAAATTAGTTAATAAGAATTTTAAATAATTTGAACAAAAAACAAAACACTTCATTAAACATTTATTCCCTACATTTTAGAATTATACCAACTAATTTATTATTATTATTTTTTTTTGTTTGTGAGTTTTCTGTTTATGCCAACTAATTATATCAAAGGACTTAGCAAAAAGAGAATAATTAGAGAAATATAACGATAAAAATATTATTTTAATAAAATTAAAAAAGTAATGCTTTGGAGTACACCTCCCATAGAAGAGGAATAAAAAGTGCTACTGAAGCTAAAGGATTTTTTGCTTACTTTGTAATTTTTTATAATTATAAAATATTTTAATGAGATGAAAAACTGAGAAATGTTCAACAAAATTAAAAACTTTTTTTTATTAAAGAAGATAAAAAATCCACTTTGATTCTTCGTACTAAGGAAATGCTACTTCAATTATTTTATAATAATTCAACTTAAAAAATATTTTATTGTGTAAATTCTTATGCTTCTAAATAATATTAAGTAAAGTGAGAATATCTTTTGAAATACTTATTTAACATTTATGGTATGTGTACCAATATATTATATTAATTTTTTTTATACCTGTGGTGATTTTTTTTATAAATATGTATTTATTGTATATATGCTGAAGTGGAAGACGGAACGCATTTTTATATATCGCTAAAATATATTTTTATTATTTATTAATCACGCTATATATCTATTTCTACTCTTCCTCTTATGTTTCTCATTGAGTAATAATTTATTATGTGTAATATATTAATAGATGTGAAAAATTAATCTGAAGGATATAATAATATATTTATTGGAAAAAATTTAGATTAACAAGAGTGCTTTGAGCGCATAAATATATTGTATTAATAATAATTATTTATTTATTTTTGTTTTATTAAATAATACGCCATGAATGCAACCCAACCTAAAATATCTATTGTGCGCCTAAAGGCACAGCTAAAACAATTTTAGCCTATATATAAATCTTGTAATTGTTGTGGGCTGAATTTTACCTATTTGATTTGGGACTAAGACCCTGCTTCCAAGGTAGTCGAGTCTCCGTTTTGCCGCCGCTGGGCAGTTGCATAGGATATATACTGATATTTCTTTATATTCCTGACAGAGTTGATAGGAATCTGTTTCTAACGCACCTATAATCTTCATGTGATAATAAAGTCTACAGTCTCCTGTAAGAAGTTCAGTGCAGATTTTAATATCGTTTATGCTAAAGTCAAGGATAGCATCAACTTTGATGTGTTCATGATTATTGAATCCTTTTGTTTGTCGCGTGCCTGTTTGGGCTCTCCAGTGTTCAAGTAGATTTTGTTTCTCCCGTCCACATAATAAGTTATTTGTGAAACTATTTGTTATCCTACAGAAGGGATTAATAATAACAGTTAATCATTAATTTTATAAACATAATATAATCATAAGCCCAAAGCAATTTTGTTGAATTAATTTTTTTCCAATAAATATATTATCATATCTTTCAGTTTTATATATCACTGTATGCAAACGTTGGGAAAATGGGGCTACAATTGTATTCCCTTTCTTTATTATATTTATTTACTTTAATTATCGTATTATGTTGTTTTCATATCAATAAAATTTAATAATAATTTAATAATATCTTTAAAAGAAAGATGTTTCTTCTAAAATATGCAGAACATATTATGTTGTTTATTTTTTGGTTTAAGCGCAATACGTTTATACATTTTTTCATAGTCTCAATATTATTTTATAACATATAGAGTACATATATAACAGGTTAATAAGAACTATTAAGTCTCTTTATAATTATGCGAAATATAAATAATTTTCACAGTGCCACCGAAACTGAGTCCATTCCAAACTTCTATCTTACAACTGAATATGGGTGATCGCGCTTCACTAACCTGCTCAGTGGTAAAGGGAGACTTACCATTAACTATAACATGGCGCAAGGATAATCGACCGATTGATCCAACACAACATATGTCCGTTAAACAAGTCGATCAATATAATAGTATATTAGTCATTGAAAATTTAGGATCTGACCACACTGGAAACTATTCCTGCGTTGTACGTAATTTAGCAGCTGAAGTGGAAAATTCGCAATCATTATTGGTTAATGGTAAAAATGAGTGAACACATACCACATATGTGTGATATATTATTATCCTTTAATTCTAAAAATTTTTTTTTTTTGGTAATATATATATATTTTTGTTTTTTGTTTATACAATATTAAATGAAATTAATTAAGCAAATGTTTTGTCAGAATGTTTCCTAAAGAAATATGTAAATGTAGTTGAATTTTTGAGTTAAATATTGTTTTGAATGTTTCTAAACACTTTATTATAAACTAAAACTTAGTTGAATGCACATTATTTGTTTATTTTGGAAAAATTATTAAGAGGAGCTACCCTAAAATAATTAAGTACACACTTTTTAGAGATTTTTGTACAAATTTAAATTTTTTTCTACTTTAAATGCATTTATTTCGTAATATATTTGTTAATATACTTTACTAGATAAATGCAGATTGTTACTATAAAGTTTATCGAAGTTTTTTCTATCACTATCAAATATTTTTATACAATTTCAAAATAACTTATTGAATTATTGCCTTATCTTGTCATAAACATAATAAAAATTTAGAAATTTTTCTCTTTTTGGAATGTTTGTAAAATTGTAGAATTTATGGAAAAATTTAAACACTGTTGAAAAAAAAACAGCAAAAATATTAAGAAAAATAAACAAAACTGCAATAGTTTTTATTTTATTTGAATTTAATTTAAAACTCAATTAAAGAAAATATCTACGAAATTTTGGAATAAAATACTACAGAGTTTTCTTGAACCTTTACTTAGGCATTTTCTTAGCATTTTCAGCAATCTAATATCAGCAAGTCTAACATCAGCGTATTACAAAAATTCATTTCAGCAGGATACTTCGCAGCGCATTGAACAACAGGACTTCATTCATATTTTTATTTATTTTAACATGTTTGTCAATTATTTCTTTTCTTCTGTATTATTACAGTCCCACCCACAATAGAACCATTCAACTTTCAAGATGGTCTTGCCGAAGGTATGCGTACACGCACTGTCTGTGGTGTATCACGTGGTGATCCTCCGTTGAAATTGCTCTGGCTAAAGGATGGTGAACCTTTGCCAGATCTGTTGGGCGCTAATGTTACAATGTTAGATCAGTATTCCTCCTTGCTAAGCATACCCTCATTGTCGGCTTCACACTCTGGCGAATATACGTGTGTGGCCAAAAACCCAGCGGCCGAAATAAAATATACTGCTTTGTTACAAGTAAAAGGTATAGTATGAATGTACCCCACTTATATATATTCTCCTTAAAAAAATATATCCAATATTTAAAAAAAAATTTGCTGAAACTTACGCCTAAATATAAGAAGTTTGTTATTAACATTTGCTGGGCTTATATACATATTCCTATATGCAATAACTTCAATATATTTTTATGTTGTTTGATACAAAAAATTAAAAATTATATATTTTAAACGAAAAACTATATTCCGTGATAATATTATTTTTTCTTATTTTATTTTATTTAGCTGTTTCAGCTACTCAAAAATTGTATACTTTTTGGCAAACACTTTCTTGACAATAAAAAATTGCAATTTTTTAAACAACTTAAAAATATATACTAACTAATGCTTTAAGTTTTAGTTTGATATAAATATAAAAACCATAAACACATATTAATAATACATATTTACATATATATAATAACATATACACACAAATGCATTAACTGAACATACACATCCACAGACACTAATTCACAATAAATTTGCCATTTTTTTTTACTAAAAACTTCAATCTTTTTAAGTTTTTCTACTATCTTGAGTTGAACTCCAAAATCAGCTTCTTATGAATTTTAAGTTTTTTGCTAATTACAAGTTTTTCGGTTTAATTATCGTATGAAGAAGAAATCATAGAAGAAAAAAATTTCAACTGCTGAAAAAGAATTTAAATAAAGTGTAAAATTTAAAAATGAAATTTATTAAGTAAATCTTCAAAAATTTCAAAGACTTGTTATTTAAAAAAATACTTGAAAAAATAAATTATGAAAAATATCTACAAATTACTAAAAATCCTTCCCTAAACATTCATCCTTAAGTCGCTTTGGCACGCTATGGGTTTTTGAACGGCTGATCACCAGGTAACCTTATTGTATGCACTGCTTTTACGCTTCTTACTATTATTTTATAATAAACTATATTCATATATATTAAATAATAACCATTAATCATATAAGATTTTTAAGTTAATGATTTGATTTTTTTTTTAATATTTTATTGAAATCTGCAATGGTAAATGAAATTATAAAATTCTTAATAGATTCAAAAAAAATTGTAATTAATAATATATCAAGTAATTTTATCCTTGTCATTATCTTTAAAGCTTCATTTTTTAGTTTCAGTTGTTTTTGTTTATCAATATTTTACTTTTAAAGTCACCGATATCTTTCACAGCCAAAAAAAAATTATGGAAAGTCTTTTAGAAAATACAGAGAATTTATTAATAATTAATTAATTATTAAATAATTAATTTATTTTAATATCAAAATATTGTTTACCGACTAAAGCTTTTGCCGTCTCTTTTAAATATTTTATAAAATTGTAATCCTTAACTCAATATAAATGCAAAATATACTAAAATAATATTTTAAAGATAGAAAACAGAACTTAAAAAAATAAAGTAAAGAAATAGGATAGACTTTTTTATAGGATGATTGTAACCAATACATAAACTAAGTGTCTAGGGTTGCTTAAAACCGAAATAATCTATCAGTTAGAATATGTCTTTAGAATATGTCAGCTAAGAGTATTAACGACCGTTCAGATTGTTTTGCAAACCAACGAAAATTAGTATACATTTAGTGTAGAACACATAATTCAAAATTAATTTTGTCATCTATATATTTTCTATTATGGTTAATTTATACACAATTATGTCAATGCTTCCTATATACATTTAATATATAATCCTATATACATAAACCTATATTTTCATTGGCATTGCCTTCAATTTTTTTTTAAATTACATTCCTTAATATAAAGCCCTACCTTTAACTAATAGATGTGACTTTTAACTTCTTCAATGAATTTTCCTTTGTAACAGCGAGGGACTTGAAATGCTTTCATTGAAATAATAATTATAGATTCATGAATAGGAAGCATCAATTGTTATATTTTTTGTCAACAATTTTTGTGGAACGATGGCTTCGTATTATTTGTATAATCAAGGATAATATATTAAAAAAAGCAGTTATCTGCTGAACATATTATCATTTATAAAAAGTCCCCTCACACTCAGATATTGAATTGTATATATCGTCGACGTTTTTTAACATGATATTTCCAACAAATAAGGACGGTATAACGGTATAAAAGGAATGTTATTTTAATTCATCTTTAATCACATATAATATTGAACAATTTTATTGAATAACAAGTAGTATTAATTCTTCCTTATCAAAATTTAATAATTTCACCTATAAATTTTATATTCATTAATAGAAGAACAGAAGAAAAACCTTGAGTATTACAATATGATAATGACTTCATAGACATGGATTTATAGAAAAATTGATGAATTGATTGTTTGATAATAAAAGAGTAAAAAAATTTTAGAAAAAATCATAAAAGGTGTATATATATAGAGATAAGAAGAGACTGTTAATAGTCACCAAAGTCGATAAAAATTTTTATTTTAAGTACCCACATCTCTCAGCATGGGGTATGAGGTATGCACTATTTAGTAAAATAAAGCATTCCTGTAAAGATAGTTGCCTTTTATACTTTTCTAATAGTCATAATAGATTTTTTATTTTCGTTAAAACAATAGGTAATGCGTCATTTGATATTTAATTAAATTTAATTAATTTTCACAGGTTTCTAGTCCTAGAAAGAATTGTTTAATAAGCATGGGAGTCAGTACAGTTCCAACCAATATAATGAGTTCTCTTAATACTACTTCTTGTAGTATGAGTTTTTATAATGCTTCTTTATACGAGTACTACTGCGATTTATGGGTAATGCGATTGCTTTGAAATAAAACTTAGTTAATTAATATATTATAATACTTGTACTACGATGATATGTTTCTTAGAGCTTTGAAGACATAAGTTTCTTGAAGCATACATTTCTTCGCAGAAATGTAAGGAGAATTATATTAAGGCATTAAAGGATGTGCAGTTAATACTTTATTTTTTAAATCGTGCTTTCTTTTAGTATAAATAATTTTTCTGTCGTTTTTTGAGTTGATTGTTTTAATAACTGCATTTTAATAAATTACAATAAAGTAGAATATTGCATTAAATTTATAGAAAAAATATTCATAAACTGAATTTCAGTGTTTGTTTCTACTGAAAACATACACAGTCGGTTCATGACATTTAAATAAATCCAAATAAAAATTTTTTGGTTGAAATTAAAATTCGTTAACAATAAGCAAATTAACTAAATAAAACAATTTTACGGAATAAAATATTAATGAGAGAGACCGCTAATTAAAAGTATAATCCTGTATTTTATATGCCATTATAATTACTATGTATTTCAAATGCAGAAGAGGACAGGCGAAGTGCATAAATTATGATAACTCCTAAACAAACATTAATGCATTTATTGCACAACAAAATATTTCAGTTATGGCAACACTGGTAACACTGGCAACACTGATCCTGCGTAGCTTAGGCTTAAAGGAAATTTATGCTGTTGTCAAATATATTAACTGTAATAATTTTAAATAATAATTAATTTACGGCATAAACATGCATTTTATTAAAACAGGCACAGGATATTGAAAATGTGTTTACATTTCATTATGCCAGTCGAGCGTGCCCGTTTCATATTTACACACACGTATCTGTAGGTTAGTGTGAAATACACTCAAAGCAATTAATCCGCAATAATACATTAAGTTACCATATACACAATATATAGTTTTATGCAAAATTATTTTAGTTTTATTGTGAGAAGTCAGTACCAGTCAGTACCAGAAAAAAATTCTGTTGTACATGGTATATGTTGAAAATATTTTTTAAATTAAAATTCATTTTTTTTTATTGGGTTATTTTGCTCCAAGGCTTCCGCTATATACACAATATTTTTAAATTTGACTTTAATTAATTTAAATTTATAAAACGGGATTTTTAGGATATGTGAATTTATACAACATTGTGTAGTTGCATATGCGTAGCAGCCACGCCCAAGGTTGAGGGAATCATTTTTTATATAACATTTTCCAACTATAGTAAAATGAAATGCAAAAAGAGAAATTGTTAATATTTGATTGCCGCAGAAATTGGAGCGGAAAAAATTGATAAATATTTGCGTTGAAAATGGAGTTTCCGTTTTATATCAAATTTTTTTTTCCATTTATATAATGTTAAAAAAAATTTGGTAATGAAATGATAATAAAACAACTTTTCAGATTTTATTTGCAAATAGCTAAACTGACATTTAAGACAAGCAATAGTTATACCAAAATAGACTTTTGGCGTTATTGCAACTGTGATTGGCTTTTAATTTGAATTTTCACTGAGTAAAATATATTTCAAAGATAAAAAAATGGAAATTATATTTTAAGTTTTTACTGACAGTCAAATGAACAAATAACAATATATACAAAACATAGTCAGAAAAAAAAATAAAAAATATATTTATTATTATTATTATTATTAGGGGATGTGGCACTGCAACCGTCGGGTCTATTGTACTCCCTTCTGGGTTTAGAGTAGGTCTCTAAGCTCTGTTGCGTCAGTAAAAAAGTAGTATGAAACCCACTTTACATAGTTTTATTTTCACTTCCGTAGGAATATACATTCTTAGAAGCCCATTCCGTATGTGCATTAGCGTAGGGCATTCTAAGAGCACATGTGTGGCCGACTCCTCATTCTTTTAACAAAATCTACAATTTGCATCCGTAAGTATACCCAGTCTTGTCAGGTGGTATTTCAATTTACAGTGCCCTGTTAGGATTCCTGTGATGATTCTGTTTTTTTTTTTTTGAAAGGTTTATACAATCCTGGTATCTCTTATTAAAAACCAATAAGTAATTTGGATTATGTTAATCCTGGTATATTTATTATTATTTAATAATAAAGCTTCAAAACATATTAAAGTTAAAATTTAACTACTCAGAAAAACATTGCAGATTTCATGAAAACGCTCATGTTAATAATTTATTTGTTTTTTTTTTTTTTAAAAAATTAATTTAAAAAAAATGCGTTGTCATATTTTTATGTTAAAATTAAATTGCGCTTAATTTGCTTCTTTTTAAAAA